ATAACGGAGGTGGGGAATGCGTTTACGCACCATAAAGGGAGCCGACCTGCGCTCCCTCCGTGTGTGGGACTCAGGGGCTGTTGCCCTAATACCCACTAAACCCCACCTCCGTCAGAGATACCAGATCAGGGACGCGAGTCAACGCGAATCACCCTTTACACTTATGCATGTTATCGATAATATAACATACGTAAATATAAAGGGTGAATCTCGTTGTCTACCGTTCTCGATCTGGCATCTCTGACCACCGTGCCCTCCCTCGGCACCCCAGTGACGATGTTCAGTGGCTGAAACAATCAATTTCACATATTAATAGGATGCAAAAGTTGTACTGTCGTGTCAAAACCTACGGAACTTACCTCTGGTGGACGCGTCTTACTCGTCCCAAATATTACGTACTGAAACGTTCGAGCGACCCCTCCGCGCTCGTGCTCGTTCTTGCGCGGCTCTCAAAGCTGCTATCATCACACTCTTAAACTCGCTCCTCGAAGGCAAATTAAAATAACGATTCATCTTTGCTGCTTCTAAGAAATACCAAAAACCATTAGGATTAATATAATTAGTAATTGTGTACGATCACATTAAACATCAGTAGGTGATAGTTACCGTATATTGCGAATGTTATTTTCGACGAGTTAAGGGCCTCTTTCCCCTCCTTCTTTCCCAGCCACGTCACGTGACTCGCTAACTCTTCTGCAATGCTTTCTTTCAGGCAGGAGGTGACCATCTCTTTGAGGGTAAAGCCCCCCAACTGTCTGTAAAATACGACCTAAATAAAGATAATTAACCGTACTGTAAGTATATATGCGCTATACATATGTTACGCTAAGTGTTGTTTTGCTTACAAGATCGTGAAACGCTTCATTGTCCATCTCTTCCATATTTTTTAACCCCTGCACCGTCGCCAGGGGAAAATTTGGTGGGCGCTGCACGCGTCCTTCCGCCGCCAACTTTTCTAAGGTAGTTAAAATTTTTCTGAAAATAAAGAAGGTAGTTTTTGAATATTATTATTCATACAAAATACAACATATAATACATCACACAATTCGACATGATGAATACTTACTCCTGATCAGCTACAATTTTTCTGAAAGTAAAAAACATAGTTTTTGAACATTATTATTCATACATAATACAACATATAATCCATCACATTATTCGGCATAAGGAATACTTACTCTTGATCAGCTACAATTTTTCTGAAAGAAGTTAATTTTTGAATATTATTATTCATACATAATACAACATATAATTATTCAACACAACAAATACTTACTCTTGACCAGCTACAATTTTTCTGAAAATAAAGAAGAAAATAGTTTTTGAACATTATTATTCATATATAATACAACATATAATACAGTACATTATTCGATATTATGAATACTTACGCTTGATCAGCTATAATTTTTCTGAAAGTAAGATAGTTTTTGAACATTATTATTCATATATAATACAACACATAATACATCACGTTATTCGACACAACAAATACTTACTCTTGACCAGCTACAATTTTTCTGAAAATAAAGAAGAAAATAGTTTTTGAACATTATTATTCATATATAATACAACATATAATACATTACATTATTCGATATGATGAATACTTACTCTTGACCAGCAATTAACTTCTCTACAGCCCCAGCTAATATACTGGAAAGAGAAAGAAAGTATTAGAATATGATGATATGAATAAAAGCGATATACCAACAAAATTCATATATTCGATACTTACTTCAGACCATCTTTTACCTCCCGGACGCGTTGCACTATTGTTCTGCAAACATAAGAGAGGAATCATTAACATAGTATTCTAAGTACAGATAGTACTTTAGCTAAAAAAATCTTTTTAACAAGAATAAATAGAGTAGGCTCCCATACAACGCGGGGGATACGCGTACGGAAAATAACTATCAACTATAAAATACTATTATATAGTAAGTATATAAGATAGTATAAATACTATCAACGTAGGAAATCGCGTTATAACTCAGCGCGTTACTCTGTCAATAACGGCATGGGAAAGATGAATGTGGAAACTTACTTTTTCTTCGGAGCTGCGGACGTACAAGTGTATGTTTCTTCACTTTCAACGTCCAAAGATTCCCCAAGATCTTGTAACAATTCCACGTCTTTAAATATGATTGTATCTTCTTCTTCATCCTCGCGCTTCCTCTTGCCCGAGAGATGTTGTGACATTTCTTCTTTCTCACTATAAGCACTTCGTATATCAGAATGATGGTTGTGTCTCGAACCAGCGTCGATGCACGAGGTGCACGAGTGAGTTCTCCACGTGCGAAAGACCAAGACCTCTTTTTCACAATGAACCCCTCCACTCAAAAAATATGCTCTTCTCGATATACCCCTCCGCTAAAAAAACAAAGAACGTCTAAGAACGTCACATCTAAATGTTCGCGGGTACAGATTCGAGCGCATGCGCGTTGCGCAAGCTGCAACATAACATGAACAACCAATGAAAACAATTTGAGCATTTCGCGTATTTTTAGTTTCAAACTCTACCAAAAACAGTTGGTAACTACCTCGCCTTAATCTAGGGGATAAGGAGTGGGGGCGTGACGAACAAAAATGAGATCCTCAATTTCCAATCCTCCCAAGAACACCAGAGAAACGCGTTTCATATGCCTTCCACCAGCAAATTGGCTCGATACCCTTCTGACGATGCTCCGCAGGGGAACGTCACGAACGTCACGAACGTTACGCTGTCCCCACTATCGCTGCTATTATAGGTTGATTGACCGCGACTGATTCACGTAGTAAGTAATAAGCACTACCCTGGTGCTATTGGTCACGTGAAGCACGCAACGCACGCGCATGAAACTAAAAATAAGCACAGAATACTTGATTTCATACGTTTTAGAAATGTGAATGTCCTTTATGACAAGTGGAAGAAGCTGTAAAATGATAAGAAAGAATCTCATGACTTGAATTCGCATGACTCATCTTGAATATATAAATATTTAAAAAGGGGTACTGGAATAAAAAGACAAAATACACAATAAAAATATACCAACTATACACTTCAAAAGCTCTGAAACCAGTGTCTTATCTTCGCGTCTTTTTGGCTTTCCTTGCTTCTTATGAAGTCGATGCGTGCGCATCGTCCTGATTTTACAGGAGAAAAGGTCACTCTTTTTAGAACTTTTGAAGTTTTTTCCACTTATCATGAAAGACAGTCACATTTGTAAAACGTATGAACATGATTTCATATTAATTCGCAGCAATAGTGATGTATTCTGTGTTTATTCGTAGTTTCATGCGCGTGCGTCGCGCGCACCATGTGACTAGTCGCGCTCACCACGTGAATGTGAATCATTCGCGGTCACGTGACAACAAACCTAACAGCGATAGTGGGGACGTGACATCAGGAAGTATTATCTATGTGTTTCTGTTTATTTCCTTACTTAACAAGTAGTAAGTAATTAAATTAAAAATAACGAACAATTAAATCATTTTGTATTCCGCAAGGAAAAATAAATAGTACATATGTACAATTAAATGTGATCACATTTTATTCGCCTTTTACAACACATTTAAAAGGATTCAATTGAAATACAAACGTGCACAATAAAATTATAATATACATTTCGTATATTTATTCATATGTTTATAAAAATAACAAATTAAACGCGTTACTTGTCAAATGATACTGTAAAATCGTTTGTACATTATATCTATTTACAATTCATTCATCTTAATATTCAAGTTCCTTCGACCAAAGCGTTTCTTAATTTTTCTTCAAACAAGTAGCTTTGTTCTTCGTGTTCCTTCAAACGATTTTCTATCTTTTTTGAAATGCAATCTACTTCCATGATTTGATTCCGACTATTTTCACAAAATGTAGCCAAAGGATCTAAGCCGGATTCATTTTCTTCAGATATACTTGTCTTTCGTTTCTTCGTCTCCAATTCGTCAGTAATAATCTCCTTTTTCGTTCTTTTCCCAATGCTTCTAAGACTCATATCTCTTGGCACAGTTTGATAGCAAATTAATAAATCAGACTTCAACCACCACGGTAAAGTTCGGAAATGTTTTACATGATTCTTGTTATAAATCACATTTAAATCTTTGTCAAGGACATGAATCTTCTTCTTAACAATATATAATAAAACATCAACAAAATTAGGTACAGCTGAATTTCCAGTAGTAACGAAAAAGTTACTTAGCACATTGTAAGATATTTCCTCACTCTTTGAAGTAGATAATGCCTTGTGACTGTAATCTGTTATACTTCTATGAAGAGTGGTATTACTTACAGGCCACGGATAGCTGAAATAAAATTCATATAATTGCATTTATATATAACTCATTGAAAAAGGTATTATTAATTTAATTATACAATTCCTTACTTCCATTCTGGTAATTTAAAGCTAGACATTGCTTCTTCTAATTTTGCTTTATGATCTTCATTTTTCCAAACATCGTCGAAGTATTCATATGTACACGGAATCATATATTGATTTTTAACATATATTTTAAACTCTGGGGCAAATTTTGTGTACATGAAGATTTCTGGATCTAATATTATATTTGTTAAATGAGTTACAGCTTCATTATGCAAATTGATTATAAAGTTAGGTTGCTTCAAAGCACACAGTAGATTTTCATGAAAATATGAGTTATCAAATATCCTGTAAAAAGTTATAAAAATTATTATACATAAATTTACTACATAACATAATAATATTTGTTTAACTACAATACCTTAGCCATAATTCTTCCGTTAAACAAATATCACAAAAATCTTGCAAGCAATCCATTCGTAGTGGATTTTGAGGTGATGCATTTACAGTCAACCAAAGTATACCAGTTTGCGTTAAATGTAGGATCGATTTTTCAGTTAAACTCTTTTCATGTACAATTGTATATGTTGACAAATATCCAGAGTCCAATAATTCTTCCAAATTGCAAACAACCTCCTTCCTTTGAGAGTCAAAGTTTGAATTACCGAAGATAACAAATATGAGCGGAATAGGCATCAACTTGTCCCTTGATAATACAGTTTTTGTTAAACGTTTTGTAGTAAATTTAATTTCTTCAGAAGCATCTGCTACGAAGAAAAGAGCATCTGACCCTATTAAATTAAGATCATTAGGTAGATCTTCAAATTGCCTGATGCAGATACGTAAAGTTTCAATTTGATTTGCTTTATATGATATCATAATCGGATCCACTGTGAAATCTTCTGGAGAAAGATATTGATTTATTATTTTTTTATGGTGCCATAAGATTGTTTTGCTATATAAATTTGGCCAAGAAATAACTAATTTCCAATAACAATTAGTATGCGTATTTATATCCATGAACTTCAAGTTCTCTTTTATACCAGCATAAATTATAACTTCAATTGGTGTTAGCGATTCAGAATAAGGTTTTATATGTTCTTCTAAATCTCTGTGCTTTTTCCGCATGTTTGCAATAACCAAATCTTGTTCTTTAGTGTACAATAATTTCGCACATTCTTGACTGGAGTTTTGCAACCATACAGGTGTATATTCTAATGCCTTTGCATCCTTTCTTTGTTGTTTTCTCTTCAGTACATTAAGCTTCCAGAGTTTGAAACACTTTATAGCCACTCTATTTTTCATTTTTACTGACATCTCATACAATTTTCTCGCATTAATCATTTCTTTTAATGTATTATCACAGATTTCATGAGTTACTTCATCTAGAATCTCATTACTGATACTCTCGCTACGCTGGTTGAAAACACGTAGTTTATGTAATTCCTCCTTTACTGTACTGGAACAGCATGCTTGTATCACTTCTGTTTGTATGCTATGTAGAATTTCTTCAGCAGTTTCACTGATTTGTTGCATTCTTTTCAAAGATTCCTCTTCGTCTAACTTTGATTTTCCATGTTTTATTTCTTTTTGCAACGTTGTTTTCTTATTGTCTACTGCAAATGCGAAGGAACGTCTTACTCCGGAGGCATTTTTATTACTAGTAGTCACAGGACTTGCAGTATTTTGTGGTTTTAAAACGGCTTGGGCACTTGTAACGTCATCGGAAAGTATTGTTGAGGATGTAACATTTGTTTTGAATATCTTTGTTCCTGAAAATATACTTTTATTTGCAGCTGTTGCAAATGGAGATGAATCGGTCTTTGACGATGAATCAACTTGCTTAAAAAATATATTTGGTGCGGTGGAAATTGTTGTTGTATTATTAAATATGTTAGATAAATTTGGAGATTCATTTGGTTTTTGTTCTAATATGAAATCAGATTTCGTTGAATCCTTCTGACTTTTTATTCTCGATTTAATTAGTGATGTACTCATGCTTCCTTGGAATTTATTTATCTCTGCTTGCGATTTTGCAAAAACATCTGTATTGACTTCAATGCTTGAAACTGTATTTGCAGCACTAGTCTGCATCTCAGTGATCGAATTTTCAGTAGTATTCACATCTTCCTTAGATTCTGTGTTTACAGTATCTTCGTCAATGAATTCATACGGATCGAACGATTCAAAACTAATGTTTTTACTTTGATCCTCTGCATTGATAGAATCAAGCATTAAATAGCCACTAAAATCAAAACTATTGTGTGGTTTATGGTCCTTATAACTTTTGCTTGGCATTTCTCCTCCCGCTATACATTCTCCAATAGATAAGTTTTGTTTGATCCTTTTAGATTCTATTACATTGTGAGCTCTATTCTGTTTTATATTTAATACAGACATGACAAAGTTCTGTCGATTTAGTGATACATATAAACCATCATTCGAAATATTTAATCCTAATTGTTCACAAAAATAAACAGCTTCGTCTTCATCTTCGAAGCTTAACATATCAATTAAATCGTATAATGGATATGATGTTGACGTTGTCCTGCAATAAGCTTTAACAAGTACCGACAATGCTGTCAATCTTACTTGATTAAAATACCTCAGCAAGATGCACGCATTTAAATATGTAGTTTTCCGTACGAGCTTAGAAAATTTATAATAATTATTAGATTCAAGAGCAAGATATACATCCAATGCAAATCGAACTTCTGCCGACCTTTGTATGTCTTTTGGTAATTTCTGTAAATCCCACATGAAATTGCCATTGCTTAAGTTCAATAAAATAATATATGCACGAAATTCTGGCTCATTTTTGCAATTAATTCCTTTCACTCTCAAGTCATGATACATGTATTTCAATGATTGTAAACATTTTGTCAGATTGTCAGAATTTATCCTCTTATCAAAAACAGATGGTTCTTCTGCACAAAGCCTTTCAGAACATACTATGTGAAATCTAGCACACTGTTCAACCAATTTAACACTGTCAGGACAGCATAACTCTTGCTGTGTTATATCCTTCCGTATTCCTCTTGTTCTATCCCATAAAAAATGGTACCATTCTGCCACATTCGTACCTTGTTGATTAACAAGATCTGCAATCTCATGGAGCAAATAACTCATAGTCATCTTCAATGATTTCACTGGCCTTAATTCATGTGCCATTGGTTCCTCTTGATCTGCAGAAGATCTAGAGTACTGCTTCACTGCCTTTGTGTGATTTATTTTATAGTCATTCCTTGAAACTTGTTCATAAAACGCCACTTGTCTTTTTGCCTCACGCATTAACCGTTCCTTCTCAGGGCACATGTCAGGACACGTCCCAATCATTACTTTAGCTGCTGCTAATGTGTGCGATTTAATTTGCCTCATTCTCATAAGTCTATCCCTTGCTTCTAATACCTTGTACTTATCCTCAGAAGAATATGCAGGTTGTTGAATTATACTTTGTAGTTCCTCAATAGTAGCATTAGGTAATATATCTGATATTTGACTATCTGATTTAAGTTTTTCAGACTTTGCAGATGCTTTTTCTAATTTCGCTGCTGCCTTAGATGCAGATTGTATTGATTTAATTTGTTTAGTTGGTGTACCATCAGGATTACTTTTGTTATGTAATTTGTATCCTAAATTCATCATAGCATCCAACTCAGATTTAATCTCACTGTCAGGTGATTTGAAAAAATTGGACATAATTTCAGATACAATATTCTTTTGTAGGTCCTTCTTCTTTATAGGAGATTTTTCAAACGATTTTGTCCAATGTACATCAAACTTTTCTCCCAAATATTCACCACATTTATTATAAGCTGTAGTTGCTTCTTCTTTAGTACTATAGACAACAGTGATTATCTGTTTTTTAGGACGAATAGTGATTTTGGAACGACTTCCAAACTGATTAAAGTGTTCCTTTGCCATTGCTTTAGTAAGTAATGGCTGAGGTACATTTGTACATATTATTGAATTTTCCAAATTAACTTTTGTAACTTGTGATTTAGAATTCTTCTGTAATTGTTCGAACATAGCTGTATCCTTAAGAGCTGGAGCAAATACATTAACAGCTGGTTTATATGAGGTCCTCAGTATTTTTGGTTTGTACTGCTTTTCAAATTCATCCGTTTGGAAAACAGAGATGTTTTGCTGTGTAGGTTGTGAAATTACTGTCGGTGCAGTAAAAGTAAATGCAGTTTTATTAACAGTGGACACATTTGATACTTGCTCTGAATTAAAACTGGTATTAATAAGCTTGGGAGAGCTGAGTATTTGTGGATCAGAAAACACAAATACTTTTGAAGAATCTGCATCAATTGGAACTTCTTCGCACTCCATTTTTCCTTTTAATTCACTTTAAATGTATATAAATGTGTGCTGCACAGTGTTTACTGAATACTCGTGTCTATTTAGGTTGGTTTACCTCATTTCATTCAAATGAAATAACAGTTGGTAACTTTATTGTATAGTAAAGCTATCAATGCGCGTACCACGTGACTCAGCAACGGTCATGTGACAATCAACGTAGCAGCGATAGTGGGGACAGCGTGACGTCGCATGCTCTTCCCCTGTGAAGCCTGTGGATGGAGGTTGTAGTTCACTAGAGGGGAATCGAGCCAATTTGCTAGTAAAAGGACGGTACGGTACGGTACAGACGGTAAAAGAGATGCCAGTTTGAAGACGGTAGCCCGGGTAGCCAACGACAATCACCCTTTCCACTTATGCATACTATCGCACCGTATCCGTGTGCTTCGAGTTCGGCTCAAGTTCGGCTTAGTAGAGAGAGAAGACGAAACATAAGTCGTCGTCAGTCGGCTGCGCGTCGCTCGGATCTTACCGAATCAGGAGCAAAAGTAACAGACTGATGTTTCGTCTTCTCTCTCTACTAAGCCGAACTTGAGTCGCGCTCGGAGCACACGGACACGGTGCGATAGTATGCGTAAGTGGAGGGGCTAATTCTCGTTGATGTTGATTGAGTTGATTCCCGTTCTCCTCCTCAACGCTCAAACTGGTCACTCCTGCTCCTGGACCTCTTGGTGACGTTGACGTTAGGCGTTAGTGATTGGAGTTTGGTTCCACTTAACCCTTCTAATTAAATAATTCTACTGAAATGAAAATTGAACAGCAAGAAAGTTTGAAACACATACAACAAGTGGAAGAGAAGGCAGGTGAGATACTCACTGACAGGCAAGAAATAATTGCTTTGGACAAAAGAAGAAATGAGGATAGAGTTGGTATGAGAGCATTGCAAAAGGAAAATTGCAAGAAAACTTGGATAACTGTAGGACCACTATTAATTAAAATGCCATCTACAACTGCCGAAGAATTACTTGTTAAAGGTATTTTTAAATAAATATAATTTATTTCAATAATTTAGTACATAGGTTGAATGACAATTAAGTATATATAGTTTTATTATGTTATAGATCAAAAAGAGTGTGACATAGAAATAAATAAAATAAGGAGTAATTTAAAAATAAAAGTGAATGAATTAAGAGACCTAGAACTTAATCCACCTGTATCAGGTTTAATGTTACAACCTTTGACTCACAAAGAAATGACTGCAATAAATCTAGTTATGGGACAAAGTTCTTAACATATAATAATACTTTGAATAAGTATAATAAGAATACAATTAAATAGTACAAATCTATAATTATAGAAGCACCAAGAAACGTATGAACTAATATTATTTAACATAGATATATAAAGTTTATATAAGTTAATTTCCCTTACGAATAATTAAGTTTACTCATTCGCAAAGTGATCGTCTATTTTTTTCACGTACCAATCATCCAGAAATGCATACTCAGATATTGAGGACAATTTTTCGACCGCAATATTTTTTTTCTTTGGATCGAATGTGAATTTATATAAGCATGTGTCGTGTTCTTCAGTGACAGTATTATTTACAAATTCTAAGAACTTATTGCAGAATCCTAGGCTTCGTTTTTGTTTATACTATCAAAAAAAAAAGAAATTTGAAATATTCACATAAACAGACGAACTGTGCAAACTTATATTCAATTACCTTTATGAGATCATCAAATTCACTTAATTTAACATGTCGTATTTTCTTCACGACACCATGATTGTCTCTACAGCCAATTATCAATTTTTCTATCCCTACCCAATAGCTTTGTGCCCACCATGAGAATAATCTATTGAGATCTTTTAGATCTCTTATATTCATGTTCTGATCAAAAAATAATGTGAGAGAAATCGTTTTAAGTTCTAGCAGTTCGTAATTTTTCCCCACTATGGTATCCTTTATAGTTTGCTCGGAATGAATTCCATCTATTTCAGCCGCATAAAGTAATTCCTTGTCACCAAGTTTTGATTTAAATATACAACAAAATTGTCTATTCTCGTTGCAGGGAATAGATACATTGGGATCTTTAAATGGTGTGTCTGAATATAAAAGACATTTCCTTCTTAGCTAACAAATATTTCATTAACACAATGTACACATCTCTTGAATTAAAAGAATGAATATTGAAATTCATAGCTACACTGCGGATTTTATGCACTTGTAGAAAAAACAGGTGCGCTTTAAATGTAAAGATCACACGTAATGTAAAAAGAAAAAGAGAGTACCAAATATTGAACATGTATTATAATACTTAAATGACAAAATTAATTTTTAGATAAAGTGTGTTTTCGTTACTGCAGATTAATATAAATGTATGAATAAAGATACTGCAGATTTTATTTATTATGCAAAATGAAATTTTTACTTATTTATAATTCTGTATATTACGATATACACTACACGTACTCTTGCATATAATCTGGATTTTTATAATAGCATAATTTTTCTATAAATGCATAAAATCTGCTGACTGTAATGAATTATTAATAAATCATTTATACCTGAAAGTGCAAATTGTTGGAACTTGAACCCATATGCGGTCAGACGTTTTGCATGTTCTGTCATATTTAAATTCTGTTTAATTACTTCGTCTGTATCATAATGATATAAATATATTGACTCTTTCAATTTTGCAGCACAAATTATCCAACCACTAGACGTATTGAATGGTGTATGTAATAGGTTTTTCAAAACACCTCGATAGCAAATAAAATGCGCAGCTAATCTGATGAATGAAATTTATATAAAAAGTCAATATATACATGATCGGTACGTAGAAAATGTAAATTTCATTCAATTATCTATTAAAGTTATAATTTTTAATAACATAGCCTTAGTACATTTATTCAAAATAGTGAAAAGAAACCAACCGTTGCGTTTTGTTTTTGTTTACATCTTGTGCCCTAAGGGAATCGAAGTTATTCGATATCCATTTCAACAAGAAATTGGTATCCCAGGGTTCGTCTACTGTAGATATTGTGGTATTTGCGTTGTAATTGAGATCGAAACGAACATTTTTATTTGCTGGTTCCTTATAATATCTTAACTCTGACAGATCATCCACATATTCTCTTTCACTGTTCACACTGTAACTACCGATTACTTCTAAATCGGATATATGCATCGCGGATCCACGTATAAGAGGAACAGAGACTGTCTTAATATTTGAATCTTGCATTCTTCCATTAAAAATTGCGATACAGAATCATACGGAATCACTTCTCGATGTGTTACTGTTTTTATACATACATGAACTTGGAGACAGAAAAGTAGTTGGATGGAACAGTAACGTCTAAAGACTGATTGACCGAGAGATTTTATTCTAAATGTAGTATTCTCAGACGTGTACTAAAGGAAGACGGTTCCTCGTGAAGAATGTTAGTAAGTATGAAACGGTCATAAAGTAATTGTCCCAATTTCTGTTTACGTCGGTTTGTATGATCTTGAAGTTACAGAAAAATAATCCAGCATAGACATTCGAACGTGGACAGAAATTGAGACATTTACAATGAAGAAATAAAATTTAATCCAAATACAAATTGATACCAACACATTTAAAGGACATATTGATAGAAACCTTTATATCTTTTTTAATAAATTGATTAAATCGGTCAGACTATCGATTTATAAAATGTACAGAAAAATGCACATATTTACATGATAAAATACAATCAAAAGTAAATAGTAGCAAAACTGTCACAATTAATAATTACAGTATTTCTGATAACAAATGTATCTATGTCTATTGCATGGACATTGAATACTAAAATTAATAATGAGAGAAATATCTATTTGAAAAATTAATGTTTTATAGCAGATATTTATGAACAAGAGGCATTTCCCTTCCTTGCAAAGTAGTCTTCTACTTTTTTGACATACCAAGGATTCAAGAATGCATAGTTACAATTCGGATCCAATTCTTCCGCAGTAATTTCTTTTTTATTCAGATCAAATGTAAATTTATATAAACATTTATTGTGTTCTTCAGAAACAGTATTTTTTATGAAATCTAGAAATCCATTGCAAAAGCTTAGACATCTTTTCTGCTTGTCCTGTCATAAAACAAAACTACGTAAGCCTCAATATATTTGCATTATATACATTATACACAAAATATAGATTACCTTTATACGATACAGAAATTCATGTAATTTAACTTCTTTTATTCTTTTGATATCACCGTTTTTATGTTTACATCCACATATGATAGTTCGCACGTCTGCCAAATAGCACTGCGCCCACCACGTTAACATTTTATTTGGATCCTTTATGCCTTTAGGTCCACAATTGTTGGATGGAGTAGTTTTAAGTTCTATCAATTCTAAATTTTTTCCTACCACCGTATCTTCTACAACTTGCTGTGATCGAATCCCATCGATTTCTGCTGAGTAGAGTAAAGTTTTCTTATCAAGTTTCGATTTGAATACACAATGAAATTCTCCGTTTATATCACAACGTGCAGAAAAGTCGTCGCCCCTGTACGGGGTATCTAAAAGAACAATACTACAATAGCTTTGATCTTAAAATAGAAAATGTTGGAAGTTATGATACTTTATTAATATTTGATAGTCTAGATACAAACTAAAAAACATCTAATCGCATTGAGTTGCGAATTTTTGGTTCCCGAAAGTATCTTATTCAAGTATATATATAGAAAGTATAATTTTCACGAGTTCTAGAATTTCTCTGTTACGCACATAATTCATTCATACCTGATAACATATATTCCTCGAATGTAAATCCCCATTCAATATTACGTGTTTGTTCAGGTGTGAAGTTTGAAATTTGTTCTATTCTGTCATCAGAGCAATAATAATTCAAGTATATTGTTCCTTTGAATTTTGAAGCGCATAAAATCCAACCATTGAATTTTTCGAATGGTGTAAGTAACAAAGTTTTAATCGGGCCTCGAGTACAAATAAAGTCCGGCTGCAAGCTGATAAGTAAAATGTAAAGAGTAGTATTAAGCGTATAGACATACAAATCATTAATGATTATCATCTAGCAATAAGAAGTTTCAAACTAAAAGCAATACAGGAAATAATTCTCGTGCATCGAAACTAATAATAAGGTAAATGAACTAATTTCCATTCACGTTCCAATTTCTACTCACTAGCGATTTATTTATTATCTACAATTTCATATGTATCTTAAAATTATAGAAAAATAAGCGAGTAAGTAAAAATTGGGTCATTTACCTTACTTATTTCATAAAGTAGAGCAGTTTGAAAAAGATCGAACAGCTCGAATTGTTTTACGCAACTCGAAAAAATCGAGTAAGTCAAACAGTCATCGGTAACATCTCAGCGTGATTGGTCAAAATTATTTTAACTGTCTGACTACATCCTTTGTACTTACTATAATCATTATTTTATTTAATTGTTCTAAAAAACTGACCAGTGTTCGATTTCATTTGAATCCTTTGCCCTAATGAGATCGAGATTCTCTAATACCCATTTCAACAAAAAATGTATCTGGTATCGTGCTGTTTCTTCCGTTTCTTCTTCAGTATCTGCAACTGTATTTTCTTTTTCAGTATTTGCAACTGTATTTTCATTTTCGATATCTGCAATTGTATTTTCCTTTTCAGTATTTGCAACTGTACTTTCTTTTTCGGTATCTGCAATTGTATTTTCTTTCTCGGTATCTGCAATTATGGCTTCATCTTGGATTTTAATTACGCCAAGATGGAAATTCACGTCCTCTGTATCTATCGGCTCTTTGAAATACCTTAACTGCGATAGATCATTCAAATATTCAGATTTACCGTCGATTGCTTGTATACTATAATTTCCTATTAACTTTAATTTGGAAATGGGACATCTAGCTCCTCGTACATCACCCACAGATACACGTAAAGTATTTAATTTTGAGTTTTCCATTTTTCATTCAATTAAAATAAGGGTTTTGTATGATACTTTAATAATCACGATTCATTAGTTCAACTTTCGTCACTCACTGCCATTCAATAATCGTACTGCGGAAAATAACTTTATATCGGCTCACTTTCATTTATATACAATTGACAAAGAATATAGTGATGAAGCAAATAATAATGATTTAAGTGTGACTCAGATACTGCAGGATTTAATTATGTAATTCACCGTGTATAGTAGTGTGTAGTGTCAGTATTGTGTGCGTTGGTGTGCGTATCAGATGGAAGCAATGGAAGCATAGACCTATGTATAGGTGTATGAAGTGGACTTACGGGCGAGCGCGTGGACTCCTAAAAACGCAGCTCTGTTTGAGCCTAGCCCGGAATTCGGAACCGCATAAAATTTTAAGATAGTTCTGTAATTGAGAATGTAAAATGTAATATACTGTAATGGATAAATAATGTTAGGAGGTAATAAAATTATTTTATTTTATTAAATATATGTAGGGCACGATCGTGATGTAGGGACTAAGAATCCATATAATATACGCATTATAATGATACTACGTATGATGATACATAATATATATATGATACGCATTTGTTCTTTATTAAATAATTTTACATAGTACTAGATTAGATTTGTTATTTGTTGTTTAAAATACATACATAGAAACTGTGTTTTAGTCACTAGCACATACATAACTACAAGAGATATGAAGGTGTCTCTATAAAATTTTACAGACCGACTGTACTGATTATAATTTATAGTTATGTTGTGTATAGTGATCATGTATGCGTGTATAGAAGCAATAGAAATAGAAGTAACTGAGAATAAAATTATCATTCAGTGGCAGTCATATTTTTAATCAATAGATGTTATATTTATAATTATTTATGTTTACATCACTTATTTTTGCACGTGTCACATTACATTGGAAGTAATTAATAAGATGCTTAGGTACTATTGATATAAAACTAATGACACTCACGGTAAATGGTATAAACATTTCTTTGGTTATAAATAATATATTTATTACCATTAGACTTGTCTTTCAGATATATAATGACCCATCTGCTGGACCTATATATCTCATAGAAATAAGCATTACATCAATCAGTGTCCATACACCAAATCCTCCAAAGCTAAACAATTTACCAATTCCTTCTTGCCAATGACCCAAATAAAACCTATAAAACATTTTTAAAGTATAACATTTTCTTTGATGTTCAGTAACATAACGGAATTCGATATACCTATCAGCTCCGAATCCTCCTAAAGTAATGCTTAAAATTAAAGCAGTAGACCAACGATATCCCACAGTCCAATTACATAATAAATTTTTCATAAATGTACGTCGTCCTAAACACAATATATCACCATTCACTGTACAATTTGTCCTATAATATTGTCTTGGCGATGATACAGAATTGCAAGAATTCTTCTGATGGCATTCATGCTCCCAATGCTCAGTTTGATAGCAATAACGACATATATACTTCTTTTGAAAGGAGTGTATGCCCTTAAAGTTTGATATATTGATTAGTATAACTATTGAACATGTAATAAGTTAAATTGTAGTTAATTACTTATGTTACCTACAATGCAGTCAACGTTTTCTCGGACAGAGCAATTGGTGATGTATTCATTTCCATACTCACAATCAGGATTTAAATTACATTTTAAACAATTGCTGTGTAGCTCTGTACAAGCAACACCACTAGGACACAGTCTAACATTCTCTTCCTGTAAGTGTTGTAGTTAATGAAACATGTTGTTTCCTCCGATTAACGAATATAACTTACTTTTATACTGCTATAAGCTGGCGTAGAATTTTCATTAGCCTCTTTTTGCACATATTTACTTGCACTCTCTGAAAAATAGCGTCCGGAGAATGTATATTTATCACTGAAAAACAACTTAAATAATTGCAAACCAATTAATTACGATTTACCGTGGCCCATATGAGCCTGTTGCAAAGTGGTTGAAAGAATTGCCAGGAGAACAAATATCACATTTCTCGAATTGATCCTCACTATGTTCATTATGAGCGTGACACAGATTTGATCGAACCGATGCAGAACGCACAGAAATTCGTTAAGCTTTTATTTACTCAATTACGAGTATAGAAAGCATAGTTCATCGATTCATCCATATACACATATGAATGTATGTATGCACGCGCACACACACATAATGTACAATTCGTTTCTCTCAGTTCAAAATCTGAACGAAAAATATGCTTATGCATGATATCTATTACTCTTGAAGTGCTCTTGAACTCTTGAATTCAACGCATAATTTCAGAATCGTTAATTTAAGGAAATTTTACATACAAACGACAATTAAATTTGTTCTCGATCAAAACAAAGCAACATGATTCTAGGAACTAAGGAATCTATAACGATCTTGGATTTTTTATATTCACATATTTTCATGACGTTCTTCAAATTCCTAAATAACGCATTTCAATGATAAAATCTGAACTATGAAAAATATAACGTACTAGTACGAATTGTTCCTCGTAACATTACACTGCATTTAGATACTATACAATCATGATCGTCAGATTTTAGAATCTATCTTCTACTGCTATATAGAAAGATTTCGTTACTATTTAAACGCACGTGTGAGTACCACGATTGGTTGATACTTTTCTTCCACCATAAAGATCAAATCGTTTGTGCATTATCTATACGTTCCGACGTTTTTTAATTTAAAAGAAGGCATTCTAGATATTATTTCCTTTCAACATCGTACGTAACATTTGCAACGCGTGCGATAATATTCTGTAGATACTCTAACATTTTGGTTATTTCGTTCACGCGAGGAAAGGGTAAAGAATACTCTCTTTCGAGTTTATCTGTTTATATTCAATACAACCGATAGGACTAGTATTAGTTGTTGAAATTGGATGGTTTAACAGCTTTTCTCTGTAAAAGCACATCCAAAAATAATGAACGCGTGTTACACGACTTGTTTCTAATAATCAGCTGACTTCCGGAACTAATACCACAGAAAATGTTAGCGAGACCTTTTATTCTTTTCGCTTGATATATAAGAGCAATAACAGCATTCCCATAAGCCAACAAGATTTTTATTCGAGGCCAATTTCGTTCACCGAAGACTGATACTTACGTTTAACCGTTTGTAATCTGAACTTGTTTCGAGATTAACTTCTAATCATCATATAATTGTGGAACTATCGGAGAATAGTTTATAGGTAAATATTATTCACGAGCACATTTTTGTTGATACTCGATTTCGCAAGTAAAATGTTTATTTAATACATCGCCCTGATATTATCGTTATTAATAGTTACAATTTAATTGATGATACGTCTATGTATCGTGTCTACAGTGTATAATCAACATATAAAAATATTATTCTCATTCATTTTCATTAGATAATTATTTTTGGAACCTTGAAAATAACATGAATTCTGAGGAAGGTACAAGTAGCAATCAGAACAGTAGTATAACAAGAGTAGAAGGAAGCCTAAAGAAAAATGGTAATTCATCGAATGAACAATCAACCAAATTGTCTAAGAGTATACAACATGAAACTAAACTGAACGGAGATCAACTAAAATTGAACAATAAATTGGGAGACAATAGTGCCAAGAATCATTTATCCTCAAAGGCTCCTGTTACATTTGCTAATGGCACAAGATCTACACAAGCAACTGCATGCAATTTCATCAATTCTATGGACCAAGACACTGATGAAGATGTGATGAGTGCAAGTGTATCTTCCATGTTTTTAAACACCAATAACATCAAGCCTCAAGGCGTGAATGCTGGGGTTACAAGTCAATTGAAGCATAAGACTGTAATGAATAGTAGTGGTTTGAACTTGCCTAAGTCTCAAATGCAGTTAAACTTATCCTCCAGTCAAGGAAGCGCCCATGTGAATCACATTAATGTATCGGGTCCTTACAATTCTGGCATTACAACAAATTCAGGTTTACATATACATAATGCAACAACATCAATAATGCAGTCAAATTTATCCGTAACTAAGCCAAGTGACGATATTGACATGAAAAATAACGTGGATTATGCTTCTGGAATTGAAAAATGTCCATCGAAAGTATCGTGCAGTTCAGACTCCAGTCCAGAAATTGACAGTGCCTGGACATCAAGGTCCTATGGATCTAATAGCATGTTGAATAATATAGGTGGTAGTATAGGTTCAACAAGTCAAGGAACATGTTGTTTTTTAAGACCTAACATTAACGGGAGCAGAGAGGTAGCAGGACCAAGTGGATTACAAAGAGTAAGTTCTATAATTGACCCATGTTTTATTCAGAATTAAATACCAATATACTTTGAGGGAAATATTTATGTGTACGTGTGTCTTTATCAGAATACACAAAGAGAACGAATAGAAAGGAGAGATTCAAGTTCTGGAAATGAAGGTGACATGTCAGATGGAGAAGATTATTGTATTTATACTTACAAGGGAAATGATGAAACTGTATATTTGGCTCAAAGGGAAGAAATGAATCAAGGACAAGTGGAAGAACGTGAAGAGCAGGAGCAATGCCATAGTGGTAGATCAAGTCCAGAGATGGATTTCTTAGAGATGGACTTTGATCCAGGACCGTCCTGTGAACAGGTATTGTACAAGTTCTGAACAAATATGATAAAATGTAAACTGTAGTTAAATGTAACTCGTTTCTTTTTTAAATACAGGACACAGGAGATAGCGACTTGGCCTCTATAAATGAAGATATACAGAATATAGCGTTAGATAACGTAGATTCGGATCCAGTATTAAACGATTTAAGTAGCGGTAAAGTTGTGGCTAAACAAGGAATTGCGACTACATCCCAGAACCCAAAGCAAAGTGTACAAAATGTGAATAATACAGAGCCCCAGCCATGTTCTAGCAATAGTCTACCCACACCAGAACCAAGTATAAAATCTAGTTACCCTTCGCCATGGATGCCAACCAGTAGTAACGCAATTGGTATTTACTTTTTCTTTATTTCAATACAAACATATATACACTGCTTGTTTAAAGTACAGCATTGAATTGTGAATGTACAGGAAAATGGGAAAGTAGTAAAACGTATCGGAGTACGAAATGTCCTTTACGAGAATCATATGGATATCACAATACGAGTGGAGATCTCATTTCACCCGGCGATAATAGAGATTCGGATGCAGAATTATGGGCTGAATCATCGTCAGTACCCGTTTCAGAAAGCTCGAGTTCAAACTCGAGAAGAGTGAATCTTAGTTCAACTCTTTATCATCGAATGATGGCCAAGAAGTTAATGCTCAATAAGCAAGCTGCGTTCAATCAGAGTGGCGATTCGAATCTAGTCAATATATACCTTATTATTATTTGATACATGTTATATATATTCATGAGTACATATAATAATTTCTGTAAATATTTATATAGGAAAATGAATTATCTAATGAACGATTGGATGGCCTTTTACCAGTTGAAAAAGTGATGTTATGGAGCGAACAGGAATCTACAGTGAAACAAGTTACTCAAATAGGAACCTCTGCCTGTGGTGCTACTGCTGCTATAAATGCTTTGGTATGTATAGCGTGAAATTGTTGTATATTTGTGTATTATTTGAATAATCATTTTTGTAGTTGGCTTTAAATGTATCATTTTCATTGGAAACATTAATAAAAGGTGTGAATACTAGACAAAGAGAACCGGGTACACCGTTACCACGATATTTATATAGCCGCTCAGTGGCTGGATCGACACACAACGATATAGCTCGTGGTATAGCTTTAGGTACGAACGGATTAGCTATAACAAAGTTCTTCGCATTTTACCCAGAGAGAAAAGTTTCTTTGTCACATTGGCTACATTATTGGATATCGAAAGGTAGGTAATAATTTAAGTATAAAAATCAACAAAGTAGATATCTTAGCGTGTTTTAGGTGCTGCACCCATAGCGACGTTAAATTTGCAACATTGCGGAGAGGGATGCGATATTCCAGATGCGTGGCATCACCAAATGATATTTGGTGTGGCACAAGCTGGAATTTATTTAACGAATCCATTAGAATGCCTACCAGAGCAGGTTCGTTATATACTAATATAAAATGGTTAATAAATAAACTAATTAAATAATCTTGTTGTTAGCATGTGTGGCATCAACTTGTAAGTCCTAGCGTTTTATTAGTGCGAAGAGCTGATGTGTTAGCTCATTGGAATCCCAATACAGATTTAACACCGCTCGCTGCTATGGATCAAATGTGGCGAAAGCTCAATGTTCTAGGTATATTTAATTTAATTATATTAATGCGTGAATAACTAATACTATTTCCTTTTTGTTTTATGTGATATTAGGTCAAGTTGTAAATATGGTACGCGAAGCAATGACCAAAAGACGCCAACTTAATAATTTAACTACTGGTGCAACTCATATTCGTATTCCCGCATCTTATCAAGCAGGCATTACATTAGTTATGTGTGCAAATTCTGCAGCTGCTTCCGAATTGTTACATGCTGAACAATTACCAATACTCTAGTCTTGTTAATCAAAATTAATAAAAAGAAATCCAGGCTGCCCCATTTTTTATTTGTAATGAATTTAAACTGACTGGTCCGCACAATGTTTACAATAGTTCATTTACTATGTAAGTTGAAATCGGAATCGAAATAATTTACATTTTTAACACGAAACATGTTTGTATTCTAAGAGAATATTATCGATTAAAATATATTTCAATAGAATATTTTCGTTTTTATATGCAGTTATATTTATAAATTCATACATTAAAACAAAAGTTTGGAAAAAATTGGAGTAACTTCACGGGGAGAAATTATTTTATACACTATACCAAAGTCACTTCATTAAATATAGCGAAGGTAAGTATATTAATATTAGTCTGTTACACATACACATAATTTAGAGATTCGTTATCTACTAAGCGGTTTGATTGTGAGGGAGATATGTATTGTATGTATGTATACATTATATATGTATACATAGGTACTTTTGCTATAATTTTAGAAATGCTTTGGAAAAAATCCAGATAGAATTTATACTTTTCATACAAATTTTAGTTACAGATTTCTGTCATAATTGTATTCATAAACTCATACAGAGAATGTGCTTGCTGCAGTTGTATTGTTGATAGTTGTATGGTTGAAAGCACAGCATTGTGCAGTTGTATGGACACAATTACATTTATATACACTTGCACAACGTTATGAGCTGTCAGTCAGTATATTTTGTGCTCTTCCAGAGAGTTCACCGTTATTTAAGACATACTGAAACAAACCAAAAATATTGCAATACATATTATACTGTGGTTTAATGTAAAATATATACTATTCACCTTTCTATGAGTGATGCACGCATAGTCGATGTAATAGCAGCTGGAGCAGCTTCGTTAAGTTTAAAAACACTTTCAATAACAGACAGTTCCGTTGAAGTTGTATCCATACCACAAAAGGATGCCCAGTCATTTACCACCATTCCTGCAGCTATGACATCACTGCCTCTATTTACTGTACCTGCCTAAATATTTTAATCAAATAGAAAATAATATTAAAATTTCATGCATTTTAAACATTTAGTTTTTTAATAAGATGATCTTACAGCAAGTGGCACTTGTAACAAAGATGACAATTCATCCTGATCCTGTATGGACGTCTTGGGATGTACCAAACCACCTTGATTTGATAATACAGAATACGATCCTACTAAAACATTGCTTGCCACAGTTTGTCTAAATACTTCTACATTCAACGTATCAGCTAAAATCTCTTCTGTCTCCTATAAAATGTTCACAGATATTTCAAGAATTCTAACAAATAAGAAGTAGAAGTAATTTTATTTCTTAGTGGAACACTTACCTTATCAAGATCGGGATGCACTAGAGCCACATAATCATTACATGCAATGACATTACCCAAAGCAGATAATCTGTCTTCTACTCTCTGTACTTTAACTTTGTCTGGTAGTGAATTTCGTATATGCTGCAATTCTGTATCTGTCGTTGTATTAGGGACTAATAATCCATTTTTGTTTCCTGTCCAAATTTTTTTCTGGTTAAATATTGTACTTAAATGTGGTCAATTAAAATTTTTGAAAATTATCTTCTTTTATTACACTTACCAACGCACAACCGACCAATAATACGGCATCCCGCAATGGAAGCGTGTACTACCGGTATGGTCTCAGCTAATTCCGCTTCGAACACACTGTAATTTTCAATGATATTCGATTTCACATATATACATTCATATTTATTATATTCGGAATGATTTTATGTTAATACAGTTGTAGGTTATGAACTAAAAAATCGCTCGTGAAAACTGTTGCACAACCGCGTGAAATATTTTACACATAAGTAATGTGATCTACGATAAGATAAGCATTTATTCATATTTATGGTTACCTGTAAAAATTCTCGGAACCGCCGATTGCTACGAGACAATAAGAGTTCGTCAACTTGGAGAAGACGCCAATTTCATTGTTATTTTCGAACTGTACACGTACCGCCATGATTACAGCAATGTTAATTTACATTAGCGTATAAAATTTTGAGTAAATCCTTAAAACCTGTCACGTTCAAAATCTCTTATCAGTGCTCAAAACGCAGGCTAACCTCTTTTTCTACACCCACAACCTCTTTCACTCGACGCAAACCACGCAAACACGAGGTTTGTATTAATTTATAACACGGAATACTAGTTGAAGAAAGTATGAAGGAAGGGAAACTGTCGCGTCATTCTATGACTCTAAGCCCTCTGTAAGCGAACGCTAAAGCCAACTGAAAACCCTTGAAAACCACCGAGGAGGTCTCCTCGGTGTCAAAACTTATCACTAGAAGTTTACACTCTACATGTCGCTGCTCTATGTCTATGTATTTGAAAATGTATATGTATTTTAAAAGTGATTGATTTATTTGAATTCTTATTATAATGAATGGCAAAATTTTAAGTTAAGAAAAATATAGAGGTAACAATAACAGAGTTTTATGTAATTCTTAATACGTATTTTAAGAAGATGTTAAAGTTGAAATAGTAACAACTTTGAGGATATTAAGTGTAAAGATCTTTGAGTAAAGAGTAAGCGGAAGTAAAAATAGTAGAAAAGTTGTAGAAATTTGTAATAATAGTCAGTTTTCAAGACTCTATAAATAAAAATAGTCAGTTTTCAAGACTCTTATAGAAAAGTGCCAAAACTATGTATCAGAATATTGGAAATTATAAGCTGTAAATAAAAAAGCGCGTCAAACTACTTTATGAACCTCACTTCTCTCTAAATATAATTTTCTCAAAAAGTTTATCGGGTATTGGTAATTGGTGTTGATAATTAATGAAGACGAATGATCTTTGCACAATTCCTTTATTGAAAGTCTTTTAATAATATTGGCGACAGTTGCGTAGAAAAAAAGAAACGTTTTCGAGTAACTCGTATGGTTACGAAAATGACTGTTTCGAAAAATTTGACAAGGCGCATCGGTGTAAGTGCGCAGTGTTAGATTTGTTGTATTCGCGTATAATATTAATAAAACCAGTAACTGCTGCAAAATCACCGTTTTATTAACAACATTATTGTAAGCGTTATAAATGCGCTTCAATATAATTCTCTTTTTGATTGGTTCTGATATCGTACATCGTCTTTAATGGAACATACTGGCAGTATTATATTTGCGAGACAAACGACTTTTTCACTATGAAATCTATCGATTAACATGAAAAGAGCGACGATATCTCATAATCCCATCGCTCTTCCACCGACTAAATAACTCGTGATTCAAAGTTCGTTCGAGCGATAATCTGTACAAGGAAGAACATCTGTCGCACACGATGAAAAAACAAAATAATTGTATCATAAGAACGAAAGAATTATTAACTGATAATTCATCGAATGCGCGAAGAATCACGTTATGGCGCGTCGAACGAAGAATGGAGACCGAGTTATTACGCATTGAACTCGGCTCATTTTGATTGCGTGCCACTTTTCAGTCTCATTCTGTCCGAAGGCTCCTCCTCTTCGGTCATCTCTCCCTTCGTTCTCCTCTTGGCTCTCCACATTTTTGGTGGGACTTTAGTTTAGTGTGCGATCAATGTACATCAATAGAAAATAGAGAAATAGCAAGTAATCTTCAGTTGCTCGGCTTGAAGGTTGTGTACTGCGGCGGCTTCTCGATCTTGTGGGGCTTCAGTGTCGCTAAACGATCTGGTTTGAGAAACAGCTGCTCCCCCTGCACAATTTTCATCTTAAGGATCTTAAGAGAATCGCGGCGTTTCAAGATATGCGCGCGTTTTATATTTTACCGAATGAAAGCGCTGGTCTAATCAAAAACTCTACGAATACGACGTATGTATTTACATATACGTATGCTACGGGTTAATTACGGTGGCAGTTGGGACAATGGTAAACTATGATAGACAGGTGTGCAGTTTTGTGCAAATGTTTTCGTACATGAAAAAGAAACAGGGCCGTTTTATACGTAATACGCTCAGACCGGGTTCATTGTTTGCCATGTTATCGGTCTGCCTATCGATACCATTCATTACGATGCATGGATATTGACGCGACAATGCCGCCGAAATTATGCGTTTTATTACGCAAATACGTCGCTGATGAACAGAGAATATCGTGACAATCGCGCGATCGCAATCACGGAAGAGGGAATTACGCCTGTGTAGAAATATGTGTGTGAACGGGAGCCGCGGACAGATAAAAATAACACTATGATTTTATTGGAATTTGTTTTTCGATCGCGTCTAGCTTCGCCGTAATTTCCATTTTATCTAACAAGTATCAAGTATTCGTGAACGTAAAACACATATTTTCCTCTATATTAATATCATCAACGTCCAACACAAACAAAGCCTTCGTTAAATAACTTAAATAAATATTTAACTGACTCTCGGGTCTCGAAATTGTATGAAGCGTTTCGCATCAAATTTACATATGTATTCGGTGTATTTTCTTCTTCTTCTTTTTAATTAATAAAATGAATCTGAGTTCGTTTAGGAAGTTTGGCAAAAAGAGGATAGATGCTATGAACAAACGATGCTTGAATTTTACAAGCTTTTAAACGTAAAAGATTTCTATTAATAATTCATGCCAGCGCGGCATGCTCGCGAAAGTTGGTTTTCACGATATGTAAATCGTCGTACAAGGATTATTGTTACGGGGATCTGATAAACGGACAAGCATATGCATCAAGTATGATCGCTTTTTAATGACAACATGATATAAGTACACGAAAGAGAGTGCTCGAAGTACGCTTCGGCCACTCCGCCATATGTACTGGACTTCGTACGCAATGTCAACGTCTCACGTTGATTTGCTCGATTACAGGCGTGGATAAAGCTCACCGGCGTGACGCGACGGCGCGCGGCGTCGAGGACAGTCTCGAGACGCGAAGCTAATTAATCACTACAGTGACTCTGCGAACGGTGACAATAATGAGTCGCGATTGAAACGAAGAAGGAAGGGCAGAAATTATGTTCATGGTTTGGTAGGAAACTAACGAGATCAATTTCTTTTTGAGAAACTGGCAATCCTGGATCGAAACGTTTTTTAAATATGACTGTCAATTTCACATTTTATAAATCCATCTTGTTACTATTTTGTCGAACCGTGTATGCACGTCCGAGAGATCGATTAAACTCGTTTATGATTCCGTAATGAGCGCACGTTACACGTCTCTCCTGGGTGGGAATCGGTTTAAGTCAAGGATTAAATGAACGGACGTATCTAGCTTCCTAGTGCTATCGATTTCCGTGAGAATCGTGTACTCGTACAAGATGAAACTTAACGTTTATGGAAACGTGAAACCATCTTGAACAATCGTTAAGTTCGATTAATAATTAGCGTTAACGGTAAGCGTGGTATCGGTATCGCCTGGAACGGTGATTCTCGGTAATCGCCGCCGATGCGGTTCGGTAATTCGATACGCGTAGATCAGTAATCGAACATACGATTATTCGTGGTCGCTAATTATGACAGCAATTACAGGTCGTCCGGTTATTATTACAGCAACGGTAATAAATCTTTTGGCAACGAGATTTATATAATTAGTAACTATTTTCACAACCGTGTATACATTTATATATTATATATATAATATGTATATAGTATTTATTATATGTATAAACTCTTTTCGAAGCGTCTTCGAAAACCTCGTTACATGTATTCAGTTAGCTCTGATTCAGCCGATGGTATACTTACGGGACGAGTATTATATGTATATTTTTTAATAAAAATCAGTCTTTAGTAAACGACACGCTTTACGGAGAAACGCGCGTGATCGTGCTGGAAACGGTCCTGTTTGAAATGGAGGAAACAAAGCGTAAGCTGGTGTCAAGGATGCAAGCTGGATGGATTAAACGCAGTTCGCTTTTCTCGGGATACAGCCGCTTCTGTTACAACACACGATTATATTTAATAGAATTGTCGAGGGTAAAACTTGATTTACTTTTTATTCGATAAAATAATATATCCGATTAAATTAATGAAATTGGAATTTCTCTCGTGCAATAGTTTTTTACCAGACTTCTAGTTTTAACTTCAGTATAATGATTTTGAGTAGTTTGATTAAGTGTTTAAAAGTCAAATGAATTAGAATCTAATTAAGAAATATGTATAAACTGATGCTGATAATCTATCAGAATGAATTATTATAGAATGGCAAACAATAGTAATTTAGAAATATGTAAATTATGTGATATCTAGGAGAAAATAAGTTAAATGGATCTGAGGACACGGTAATAATCGCGCTATATGTATCAGAAGTAGCTATACATATCTGCTACTTACCTACACGCACCTAAATGAAATTACATTAGAAGGTAGGTTGCAGTAATTGGGAAAGGGACACCAGGGGGTGACTAGATGCAACCAAATACATGCGTAATGCACCCTACCATACGCATAAATCAGTCAAAATGATTATCTCGATCGGAGATAGGTCACCGGTTGTGCTGGTTATCATTTGTACCAGTATATTGTCAATCGAGCGTTATTGCATCAATATTAACCCCTTGCGTTCAAAACAAACAATTTATATCTCGTCGATTCGTTAAGAAAAAACAAATCTTGCTTCAATATTAATACCGACTGTTTATAAAAATTACACATTGCAATGCGTATTCGTATACTTGTGATTTTTATTCGATACCAATAAATAATCAAGTCAATGAAACATTCAGTCTGTTTTATTAAGAACAGAGAAGTGCAATTTATTAATATGAGTCCCGTTACAAACCCAGCTAACGCTCCCGATCGCAAAGGGTTAAAGACTATTAAAAAAAATGCAACATACTTTCAACCCGTGCGTGTATGCATGTAAGTATAATACATGTCTCCGTGCGGTAATAGGATTAGGTAATAACCATGTACATAATAAGTTAGCCGTTATTTCAAAGCATTACAGTATTACACCATGTGTCTCGTGCACTGTAGCGTGTAAGTACTATGTATATACATGACCCTTTGAGAACCGTTCGTCTTTCATTGTTACCGAGCGTGAACGAACGCTGATCGAACCCGGCGGGTTTCTCGGTCGAACGGAATTTTCAACGGTAGAGAACCCGCCTGGAATCCGTGAGATCCACGACGACCGATCACCGCGTCGCGCGTTGTGAAAACAGTCAGAATAAAATCATCGTGGATTGCTCTTACCGGCTCAAGACTATCCGGAATTATTCAACTCGATCATATGCACTTATGGTTCATTTTCTGAAACGCGTATTCGATATACATATGTATGTATGTACGTATAAATGTATACCATGCGATACTTTCGTTCACGGGATCACTTCTCGGTAATTGTTAACGCGAAGGACTAGGGGTGACACGTAAGGGAAAGAAAAAGTATGAAAATCGATGATGACGCTGACTGAAAAATGTTCAAAAGCGCGAGAAAATATATCACAGATGAAATCTCGGTCAACACTAATTCTTACGAGCTTTCGATGAACCGTACGTATATGTATACCTGAAAGGCGTAACGAATGCTATAAACTCTCGAACATGAAAACTCTTCCATAGTACAACCGACAATAAAACACTAAAGGATCTTCGAACTCTGGTTCGAAGTTATCGTTTATAAGCTCTTGATATAAAGAGAGATGATACTTTGTTAACTCGTATCGAACGGTGTTGTGGTTGTACATTCATGCAGAAAATTAATGCAATTGGGAAACGCCGTGGTAGATTGAATCTTTCTACGGTGGGAGTGTTTTCTCTTTATTTTTTGCACCAGGTTGCTCTCGAATGCCGTTTTAACGGCTGAAAAAAATTTCACCTTTAGCGCGCACCTTTGCAACGGCAACGCACCGAGAGCTGCCTACAACGTAGGCTTCGGACAGGAATCCAAAAGGGAATTCTTTTTCGTTATTCTCTTTTCTATTCCGGGAACGACGGTGAATTTTTTTTAAATTCTGAAATTTCCTCGGGAAAATCACGCGTTGGAAGACTAAAAGGGAAAAACCGGACTAGCTGCGCCATAGTGAAAAATTAAAATACTACCTGAGGACGATCATATTACGATGCTGTACATACTTGGAACGAGTGAGAAAAGGACGAACAGTGTTAAGGAAAAGTTTGACATTGCGTGTGCATAATACGTACGCAGGTATTAAATCGTGCATTCGCGCAGCTATGCGAATAGCAACCCGTGGCCGAAGGAAAAGGGAATTGAATAGCGATGGGTTCAGTCGCTTCGAATCGCTTCGAATGTGCATCCTAAGTTTCAGATCTTTTCGAATGCTATTCAAGGATTTTGAGAGTTTTAAACTTACTCCAATAATAATTATCGATCGGCCATCAAAAGTATAGCTTTACTATTCATGATTCTCGGATTAGACGTACTTTACTGTGATTCTTATCAGAACCAATTAAGACTTTGAAGTTTTATCAACAGACTTTCAAGATCTTGATCTTCGAACAAGAATCGAGGCGATTCAAATCTTTACTTTAATGAATAATAATCTCGAATCTTCGAGCGGAGATTCGAATGCTCATCATCAAGGAACGAAACAACAACGTTTCCGGCGGGATGCGTCGCCCAGCGACGACATCATCGCTCTACTTTGACGAGAATAGTTCTTTTTTGCGTCTCTCGTCTCTCTGTCTATCAACTTATCTGACCTGAAGCGTATACTGTGGTCCGTGGTGTTGTCCATGGTGATGATGATGATGATGGTGCCTCTGATAGTGTTGTTGCTGGTGAGGCGGATCGTGTTGATAACACTCTTGTTGATACTGTTGCGACGGGACGGGTTTCAGTACGTGGTTCGGACGTTTTTCAGACGGATACTGTTGGCTGGTACGTTCCATCGTGTCCACAGCTAAACGGGGATCCTCTATCATTGTATTCGAGGCTTTCGTGCTGAAACAAATCGGTACTGTCTGCTCGACTATCCCGAATTTCCTGTTTTTCCGATTCGAAGCGAATTGATCGATATCCATAAGTGCACACGTATACAAATAGAGGAGACTTGCCGGAAGCGTATCGGGCCCTTAAAATGGATCTCACTTATATCTTTTATTATTGGAAAATAGTAATTATAATAAGGATTTGATATGCACATAAAATATGTGTTAGTGAAACAGCAAACTATTTTTTGTATAATGTATTATAGACACTTCAAGAAATTACGAGATAAAATATAACAAAAATAACAATTTGGAAAAGAATGATGTTGGCAATTCTCCATTATGTATCAAACGGTTTCATTAAAATATTCTGCATTGTTATTAATTGGCTTTCTGCTGTCTCTGTATAAAAGCTCTCTATTTTGTACAGAGAGAAAAATAAATTAGTGTCGGGTCGCGATATCGGCAATTAAGGTAGCACAGGTGGAGATAGAGAGAAAGAGACGGAGGGATCCATTGGATAATTCATTAGCGCGTGTACGTGGTCTCCTGGAAAGAGTTCTCTCTCTCTCCGAGTTTTCGATGTAAATTGCTTCGACGTTTATTCGCGCAAATCACCATGGTAGGGGGTTTGGAGACGCAATATCGCGTGCTTACCAATGCACTTGCTGGAGCGCGGGCACCGTATTTCTGGCTACGCAGCATCTATCCGAGCGTAGGAAACAAACGAATCCCATTACCAGCACCGAGAGCACCGTAAACCCAGCGACAGCGCCGATAACGAGCGGAATCTGTAACAAATACGTGGCCGAGAGGAGAAAAAAGCAGCTGTTTTAACCAGGAAACGTCGTTGTCTCTGGAACGCGGGACACAAACGTTTATGTTTTCGGTCTTTTTAATTAAATACAAGCGGGTCTCTCTGTATGGGTTAAATTTAATTAGGCCAGCGAGTCGAGAAAGAGGATCACGCGATTCAAAAGAATGACGATTTCATTTTACGGTAGACGTCATAATTACCTGTCCTGGTTCGTCGACTCTCAGCATCAGGGATCGTCGATCGCTGCCGTGATTGTTCTCCACGATCACGTGGTACAATCTCTGGTCCGCCTTGACCGTGGTGGTTAATTCCAAAATAGCTGCGTAACAATCCTCCACGGGTAACGGTTCCAGATCCAATGCTCGATATCGTGATTCCAAAACTTCGCCTATGAACATTGATCAAATTTTGTTTGTCTAATTCAACAGTGTTGAGAAATGACTACGGCTTGAAATAATTGAGGAATAAAAAGGATAAGAAAACAAAATATACAGTGCATATGAAATTGTTGTAAATTAGACAATACAAAATTACTAACCGAGCTTAAAAACGTAACATCACTAAATTTTTACGGAGTAAAAACGAATGACATAAGCGTAAGTCATGGGAACATAATGAATTAAAGTTTAAAGAAAAAGGTATCATCGATTTAATGCGCGTTCGTCGATCCTTCACGACCTATGGAATCAGGAATCGAAGGGTCTCGCCGCGAAAGCGTCTAGTCTCAACTCGAGAATGACGCGAGAAAAGGGGCGCGAGTAAAGATAATTAAAGGGGTAGAGTTCCGTGGCCGAAAGGGATGCTCGAATTAATTAATCGCGAGGTGTACCACTTTTCAGTAATAAGGAGTGCCAATTAGCGAGAAGAGATGTACGTAAAAAAATAACTGAAAGGGCAAACCAAAGACTCGAATCTTTTGGCGATAGAAGGAGAGTAGCAGTCTAACCGGCGTGGAGTCTGGTGCTGCCCCATTCCCAAGCCACCAGTCCTGGCTTCGGGTCAGAACACAGTTTGACCTCCAATTTCGCTGGACTACCCTCGGTAGTAGCCACCACGAACTTCTCCGCGATTCCCGGCTTCACCACCTGCGGCACATACGTTCGACAATTCCTTCATTCAAACGATTTATCTTTATCCGACGTGAGGTCGTTTGGAACACTTCCAATTTTAACACTGTTCGTTTAACAACTTTTTAATTGCAATGGAATTCTTTCTTAATCAATAAAAAATATTAGATTAATCGAACCAGTTCTGTGCGCATACATTTATTTGAGTTTTATCCAATAGGTATACTTACGAAAATTTTTACAAATAAGTATCTTCATATCTTGTTATTAATGATATTAAGACGTTTATGACATATACGGATAAATGTAAAAAAAAATTTAGCTACCTTGGCTGGAATATACGTCCGCGCTGTTACCTGTTAATTAACAGGGCGCAGGCTGTGCAATAATCGATAATTTCGCTTTTTTCGCTTCTCTGTAAAAAAATATTTTCCCCGAATATTTCCGTACTAACGTTTGCGCGTGAAACAACTAAATATTTCGCGTCAATTACGTAGAATTCCAGGCACCACAAGTGGTGCTCGGATCATGGATCGCAAAATGTAGAGGCGAATGAAAAACAGTGTAGCTGCAATCAACCGACGAGTGCGCGTCGTGAAAATGACGTTTCATTCGATGCCGCGTACGGTGTATGTATATCCACGTGCACTCTCGCGCACACTTTTTCAACTCTTGCTGATGCACCCGAGCCTAGCAGCGAACGATAAATATGAATTCCTCGTTTCATATTTAAATACGAGCCGTGCTTGGACAGTACGACGAGCACGCACGCGCGGACAAACATAATTTCGTTAATTATTCACCAGGTAGCAATTGTCCATTTCCTGATTACATTGATTTCGCAATAAAAGCACGGGGACCGATAATACGCAATCAGGACGCGTAAAAACCGGTTAGCTTCGCCGTTTCCACCCTTTTCGACGTTTCGCCGTGAACCGATTAAATTTTAATTCGACCGACAGTCGCGTTCCGTTCGATTTGCGCGGTGAACGGGAATTTTTCCAGTCAATTCGAACCGCGATTCCAACGTTCAATTCGATCCGATTAATTCTTTCACTGGCTCGCCAGGGTGCAATGCACTTTAAGAAAAAACAATCAGCCTCTCTTGATAATTTGATCACAAAAACCTTTGAGCTCGAAATGGATCAAGAATAAATTACAAGAAATTCCGATACGAATAGTACTCCGTGTACTTTCTCCTTTAGAAAATTAATCAAAAAGCGCAATATTTCTATGTTGTGAAATTTATGTTACCATGAAAGATATTGTATTTTAAAAAATATTATGATGTCTTATAATAAAATTAGCGTTAATAATATTTAGTAATTTTGTCCTCTGACCTTAATTATGTCCTCTGTTATATTAATGGGAGAGTCAATCACGCAGTCGAAGGGTTAATTCAGTTCTACCGGAGAAAAATGGTTGGTCGATTCTCTTTTTTGCGTCTTACCCTCGGCGCGCCGACCACTTGCAGAGACACAGGGTCGCTTTTAACTTCCCGGACGTTCCCATTGATCTTGTTCGAGGCGAGACATATGTATTGGCCCTGTTGCTCGTACGTCACGTTCGTCAGGATCAATCGCTGCCCGGTACCGCATTCCAATGGCATCCGGCCATCGGAAAAGATCTGGGCCCACCTGATTCAAGATAAAAAGAACGGGTTCATTCTCGTGATTCTTTAGCTACTGTACTGCTCGAGCCAACAGGAATTACTCAAATACATCTATTCAGAATTGTAGAAAGGTTTGTCAATGAAACAGTTCGTCGCATAATTTCTTTTTATATTGGATATCGTTCACGATATCCAATTCACGATATCCATATCGTGAACGATATCCAATATAAAAAGAAATTATGCGACGAATTGTTTAATGTAAACAGTCCTGTTTAAATCAGAGTAAGCTGCGATAAAATTCGTTGGTCTACGGGTATATACAACTATTTTTTTAATGGTTGGTTATGAATAACGTTCACAACACAAGTAAAGCAACAAGTACGAAAGCAAATAGGAATTACCACAAGCCGCTAAGCACATATTTACAGATAAATGAAACAGGAGGTTGAATTAAATGGAAATTATAAGATAATTCCTACACGTTCCAGATACGTTGAATTTATAGGAATTAAAGTTCGGAACAAAAGCCTTTAGCGTAGGTATTTAATAAGAATAGAATTCTTAGTACAGAAGATTAGTAAGCAGTTCTGTCATTAGGTCACCTGTATTCAGCCGGTGGCATAGCATCCGCGGTGCACTCAAACGAGGCTCCGGAAAACAGTAAGGCTGTGGTCAGCCGATCCGGCCCGACTGAGCTGATCGTAGGCGGATCTGCATCAGAACCAGACGATTCTCCTCTATCGATCGTATTTCATCGAACAGATGTTGGAATTAATATTGCTGACATGAGTTCAACGTTTCAATAACTATTGCACCAAGTTTTATCAATTCAATACCTGTTAATATCCAACTTTCTCGATTAAGATAATTCACTTTTTAACAATATTCCACGATTCTACAATAATGTAATAATATTCTGCTAATGTGGAAAAATATGCAATGACGAAGTGTCTATTTTGTACCAGAAGTGTACATGATAACTCGGGTCAGTCATATGTAATTGTAAGTTCGAAGTGTAATGGGAAGTTTGACGCTATTTTTATTCACAAAGTTGTTAAAAATATCGCCAGTTATTTCTGCCGTGTGCATAGTCCTATAGAGGGAATCAATCGAGTATGTCGGGCCGCTTAGGGCTGTCTGGGGCATAAAGGGGTTAATCGCGGATATTTTCAGGGCGATTGGCCAAAGGGTGGAAACGAGGCCAGTGCAAAAAGGAAAAATAGAAACATGGAGAAAGAATGAGAGAGAGAGAGAGAGAGAGAGAGAGAGAGGAAGAGCTACACTCACAGTTGACAGACACTTGAACGGACACGGGGCTGCTTTCACCCTCGGTGTTCGCTGCTTCGCAGATATAGACTGCGGCGTGGTTTCTATAGATTGGCGCGAAGAGCAACGTCTCGCCTATGCTCGCCACTTCTGTAACACCAGGACTCTTCTCTCTCCTCCAGAGGATTGAAGCCGGGGGATTCGCGTCGGCCACGCATCGAATCTCTAGTTGACCTCGTCCCTCTTCCAGTTGGCCAGTCGGCACGCCGATCAATCTCGTTTCAGGAGCATCTGTAACATTTCGTTATTTCTCCATGATATTTGTTTTATTTCACGTTTCTCTTTTACATATTAGATCAATTTCCTCAGATTTATATCTCTTTCAGGAATTATATTATCTTTTACCTGATAACTTTATAGCAGTACAGAAAGGTTTGCTATTAAAAAAACAACGTACGTTGACTAATATTAATAGTAGAAAATTGGCCGCGAAGATAACATTTAAGCTTCAATAAGTTTTTTATTACCCATAATGTAAATATAATTAATCTGTTCAATTATTTCTACGATTTTAATTACATTCTCTCATTCGCGGTAGAGAAGGTGGAGAAATGAATTTTCCGCTAACGTGAAAAAAAGGAAACACTTTTCCGTGGCTGAAATCGGGTAGTTCGACAAATAGTAGAACACGGTTTAATGGAAGTCGCGGACGACTGCGAATTGCTATCACAGTTTTAATCATAGCGCGCCGCGGAAGACTGCGGGAAAATAAACACCGGATTTCGTAAGAGCCAGAGCGAGAGAGTAATACTTCGAGCTGTAGCAAGTTTCCAGATTCAATCCTTCGTTAATGAGCGAGTAATTAAAAGTGGATTCGATTCGTATCGTCTGAAAGAAGAGAAAGAAGCTCTACGATTTAATCGATTCATTTCCCGTGTTCGATTCGAAGATCATTTTCTCTCCCGTTCTCCCGTATCGGTAAAGAAACCAATACGAGGAGGAACCCCGACAATGGTACTGGAAACAATTGTACGCGTACGCGTACGTACGCGCGACCGCTCTACGCAAGCCGGTTCTGCAAAATAATGAATCAAAGTAGGAACCGGTTTCGTTATTCCTTGTCAGAAATAATTAGTTGGCCGCAGCTCACGAAAAATTCAATTACACCTGCGCGCCGTTAATCCTTCGGCCGTTTTCCCAGCGGGTAGATAGTAACATAGAGACCGGCCGGAACTGCACCGGCTGATTTCGGCCTCCCTGGATAATCGATGCGTGCGTCACTACTCGGTCTGGGAAAATCCTCTACCATTTTTCCTTCCTTTTAAACCTTTTTCCATTAATTAATCGACATATGTGTGTCGCTAGAATTTCGATCGTAACTTTATAATGCTCTTTATTTCGTCGGTATAAATTGGGCAACAAAAATACATTAAGAATACGAATGACCTGATTTTGTTTCATAGTTTTGTTCAGTGTATGAACCTGTCGATTTATAGAACAGTAGGACGCTAATGGAATTTTTGATATGAATAATATTTCATGCATTATCAAGTAACGTTATGTGCGAACAGGATTCACTAGCGACAATGTATTTTTCAGCTCGAACTTTGTCGAGAACTTTTTTACGCTTTAGGGTCGATGAACGGGATTTCGTGTCGAGTTCGAAGGCCCGGCGAAAAAGTTTCGGGAAAAGTCCGGTTTATTCGCTTTTCATCCAGCTCTCGGCTTGGTTCTCTCCCGGTTTTCATTCCAGACAAAGCTTTCGATTCGAACCACTGGACGCGGAAAACAATTTACTACGTTAATACGCAATTACTCCCACCCTGTACCAGTTCGCCGTCTCCCCTCAGGCTCTTCCCGTTGATTTAAACCAATGAAACTGTGGCTCGCCTACCGAAGAGCGTCACAAATGACGGTTAATTAATGTTGGAGTACAGATCCAAATTGTATTAATTAATAATTTCAGCCCCGACCTATTTCCCGAGGGCCAAAAATAACAAGCTCGTATTCAGACTTGGAAATGCGATTACACAACTCTCGCAAAGAGGAAGCGTCGGTGGCTAAACCCTGGGACACGCGCGTCCTCCCCACCACCCAGTCGCGCTTTCAACCGTTGTGCGTTGTGCTTGACGTCTCGCGAGAACTCTATGTAACTCGATTTCGTGATTTAACTGTTTCTTTTGTCGTCGGATTAACGAATGTCCCGGGGATCTTTCCTGATTACAGTCTCTACAGTTTAATGAAAGATTAGACAGCCTGATTAATGGATAATCGATCTTAATTTATGAAATAAAATGGATTTTCTTATCAAATAAACAAATGACCAACGGGAAAGATTATTCATCGACAAGACAGCTTGAAGGTGATATGAATGAATAATAAAATAAAGAATGTTGGATTAAAAGTATTAGTCTAATTACGTCGCATTGTAATATGATATTCATTTCTGAATAGTTAAGTGCTTTAGGTGTCAAAGTCGAAAAATTTGTAGGAAGATGGGTCAGAGTAAAGGGGGCGGTTTCGGATCGGGAAGGTAGCTCGCGCAGCTGTTCATTTCACGTAACAATGATTTCGCAATACGCGCGAACGAACACTCGCTGACCCATTCACAATTTCATCTACGTTTTCTCCCTCTTTGCCTCCACGCTATTCCTTTCCGTTACTCTTTTTCCTGTATATTCGTCGGCATTTTATAGGACACGGTACCACACGTCGGCGGCTGATTGTGTGTGTACCGAACTGGACCACCCATATTCGTGTGGTTGCGCAACGTGTTCCTCCGCGGGGAAAGCCGCCTCCGCAGCTGTTTCGATCGCCGAGCTTTTGTTTCTGTTTCGAACCCCTGAAACTTCATTCCGCCGCGTTCCGTACGGGCGCAAATGCGAACATTAAATGCGTGATTGGCATTTTCGAAATCGCGATTTGTCACTGTCAGGTCTTATATATTCTTTCATTGTCAGTCTTTTAACCCGCCAATGCTTGACGAATGAAAAGACTCCTAAATGAAATTTTGCAATTGACTCTTTTCATGATTTTGTCACGAAGAAGAATTCAGTATAGCCACAGACTCGACATTATTATCGGTAAGCAACCAGTTTAGAGTTTGTAGACGATCGCGCAGTAGTAACACCGAATAAGGGCGACTAGCCTGTATATACATTCGAAAACTACATGACCTGTGCATAAATTGCGTCAAGTCTCTCCTGGAGTTTTCAATAAATTCTGGTGGATCCCCGTATTCGTTTTCGAACACAATGCTTCATGAATATTCGATCAGCATCGCTGGTGGTAAATTACGAGCAAACGAGCGCAACGTTGATCGAAACAAATTCATTATCGCTCCGAGGCTAGAGTATACGCGGAACGGTGGACAATAAATTTTGTGAGAAAAATTTCCGACTGCTTCGATTCGAAACACGACGCATTTCCCTTGTGCTTCCTGCTGTTGTTTTTTTAATTTACACGTTTCGACCAAGAAGATAAAGAAGTTCACATACTTGGCTTAAATTCTGCTTGAAAATTGACCAATGCACCGCACCGTAAACCTTGGATAGATATTGTGTAAAGAGAGGGAAATGGAACTTTGATGTTTGTGTTTGCATTTCCTTTGTTGTTTTATCGCCGGTTCACTGGTAAATATATACCTGTTGGCATATTTAAATATTTGTGAGCCGCAGTTGTTGCTTTGCATCCTGGCGCGACGCGGGGAGAGGCCGAGGCTACTCTGCCTTCGGATAAAGGTTAATTAACGGATTCGCGCGTAGATGGCTTAATTAGAGAGAGCTGGAGCGGCGATGCAACGCGGCACGGTGCAGTGCAATGAAAAATTTTCTCCGACGGGGGAAACAGGAAATTTTTGTTTGCCGAGCTACAAAAGATACAAACTGTTCGTTACTGCGCCCCTCGAAATGCAAGCTCTTCCCTTTTCTTTATTTCGCCCTTTGTGCTTTAACTCTTTCCACCGGTTTTGTTCCGATCCAACGACGTCACCATCATCCGTGAAAACAGAGGCGTTTGAAGTTTACCCAAAGAATGACTGTCGGGAATACGGTTCGCCAGGTTTCTCGTATCAGCTACACTGTTCACAATTCTATTTACCGTGCACAAATCCAATCTATTCGTAGATCTTTGACCATGTGCGTTATTTCATTCAGAAAGATACTACTTAAATGATAATTTCTTATTTCATTATGAATTATCACTTACCAATTTCATAATCACAAGACTTCTCTTTTTTCCTTACAATTACTACAATTGCATCTGGCTTTTTATTAATCATGTTTCTTTCAATTTTTCCTTAGGCAGAAGAACGTACAGCACATTATACGATTCGAATGATACAATACAAGTGAAATAATTAGTAGAAATGATATTATTGATTCATATTCTTAAAATAGAAAATTGTAACAGATGAATTTATATCGATCACTGACAAAATTCTAATTCTTGGCATCGGCATACTTCAGATAAACAGAAAGCTGAGAGCATCACAGGGAAAGAGAGGATCATTCGATATTCTGAGCGGAAATCCTGATAGACGTGGAATATTTAATCGGTAATTTGAGAGGAACTTTTCAATTTTACGTTGGAAAGTCCCAGTTTGGTAATACTCTTAATCAGTGTACGTGACGAACTGCTCTCGCTTCTCCTTAATACTTGCAAGCCGTAAGATGTACCACGTTCATGGATATTCCGAAGGGCTCGAGGTTCGGTTTCATCTCAAACAGATTATTTCCCGTTGAACCGCTGATGCCTGAGGGGTTGCGAATCATGGTTAATAGAAAATTAGAGAAAAAATTTCGGCCAGTTCGACAATAGATTTACAATTCGATTATGGTAGTATATGGGCACAGTTAAATCATAGTTTGAATAAGGACGCGGGGGGAGGGGAAGGTGAAACATATGAAGATGAATGAAGAAACCCTTTGGTTAAAGATATTCTTATTTTTTAGGTATTATATC